TTCTAATAAAGTTTTATTTACAGCAAACAGGTTGTGGGCCAGATTTGGCCTGTGGGCTGTCATTTGCCAACCACTGATTTAGACCATAAGTAGGAATCATGTTTGTTTTACCCTCATGTCTCCCTGCCTACACCTTATTGGCACATAGTAGGGGTTGCCTCAGGAAATATTTCCTGAACTATATTGAGGGTCAATCATGTAGACATAAGTGCTAGCAGATTTTAAAAGAATAACAGTGGGGGAAGACCCATCCAGCATTTCCCAGAGAATTTCTATATATTGTTTAACTTTTTCTATGTTGGACACTTAGGATGTTTCTGATTTTTTAAATTAATAATAACAACTGTGATGAGCTGCTTCCTACAGAAATCATTGGCCTAATTTCTTATTATTTCCTTAGCATAAGTTCCTAGAAGAATTAGGGTCAAACAGTATATATTGCTTCATGGCTTTCCAGGAAGGTGGTATTGATGTACATTCCTAACAGTAATAAGAGGGAGATATTTATCATTATGCAAAGGATTTCTTTCAACAGAATGTCATGAATAAAGGTTTTGGCATCCGTATGTATTTCCGCGAATTAGCTTACTGCAAATAAAAGTAAATTGGTGTTAGATACTAATCATTTTAATAATAACATTCTCCCACACTGTTGTGACAGCATGATTATTAAGGCACGTTGTGTTACCTGTCTGTGTCATCTAGCCAACCAGTTAAGGTTGCCGTATCTGGTGTGTTTATTGAGCACACACAGAAACATCTGTTTCCCATTAGGGAATCAGAAGCTCCACTATCTGCACGCCTGGCACCAGCCTACCCTGCCATGATGTACAGAGGCCTCCTCCCAGTGAAATCCACCACCAGATACGTCACGCAGATTGCTCATTTCCCTCAGGAAATTTCATTTAGGTTAATTTTGGCACACAATTGAGGGCAATTCTTGAGCAATTTCTCTTGTGATGGCTTGCACCATGTAAAATTTTCCTACAACATGTTGCAGAAATCACTGGAAGAATACTGGCCGTTGTCCAGTTGCCTTTGTAACAGCAAGAAATATCTCTTTTGAACCGCAGTACATGGTAAGAAAAAAAAATGAAATAAAGGTAGATCGAGGAGCAGATGTTCATCCTGTCCCTTTTCACGAGGTGCTTTGGAACAGGAAGGGTGAAGGGGCCACGCAATGTGCCTTACCCTTATGGTGAACACTGGCCCTTTCTTAGCTCTTTGGATTTTTCTGACTTTCTCCAAATGAAGAAGAGAGTATCTGTGACTGAGAAGTACTAGAGAGTGTTCTAGAAATAGGAGTGGGTCTGTGGTTCCGTGATGATGGAATTTACTTAGAAACGGATAGGTTCCCGATGAAATCCAGTATATGAAGACAATAATTAAAAAAAAACCCATGTTTTCTGAGGAGCCATCCTGTTCAAGCATTTTGCTAGATGCCTTCTATGTTTATCTCATTAGATCCTCCCAGCACTGCTGTGAGATAGACACCATACCATCCCCAGCCACAAAGAACCAGAGGTTCAGGATGGCTAATTAACACATCCAAAGATTAGCACTCCTAAGTGGCAGAGCCAGCACAAAACCCGGGTCCAGCAGACTCTAGTGCCCACTTAAGTCCCTACGGATGGCCCTTGGGTGGCGCCTCTGAGTTTGGAGATATAGACCAGCATTATTAAGTCATCCCCATCAGAGACCAACTGACCAGCTTCCTAAGGACCAACTGACCTGAATCCTAAGGCAGGATTCAGGCCCCATTCATTTCTGGGCATCGTCCCCTGGAAAGTTCTGGATGGTGGTGGAGATGTTTTCCATGCTGACCCCAGAAGGAAGTGACCATCCAGCCCCGAGGAAACAGGATGTCACCTTTAGTTCTTGGCAGCACTTGTGAGGCCACACACTTCACTGAAGCCAACCTCCAGGCCATTTGGACATCAGTCAGGAAAAACTGCTACAGCCCTCCCTCCCCACATCTAGATTCCTCCAGAGCGACTATGCTACTCCGGAAGTCTGGCATGTGGGGGTGGCATTCGTTGAACTGTGCAGAGCATTTTAACGTAATATCTGTTTCACAAGATAAAACAACATTTAGTCTGGCTTGGTTGTCTGAGGCCAACCTTGTGATCATCCCATTCTAATTGGGCTGAGGGCTGAGGATTTGTGGGGTGTCTGTCCTTGTCTTCGACAGCTCTCGTTTGTCCTTGAACTGTCCCTGACACCCTATTTAGAAGAGAGAGACTCACGAGCCTGTCTGTTCTCCCCACTCTGGGACCCTCTCCACAGTAGCCAAAACTATCATCTGGAAAACAAATCCGAGCATGGCCCTCCCTTTCTTGAGACATCCAATGGTTATTGCTGATGCCATCAGATAAAATTCTCATTCTTCATCCTGGCAACCAAGATTCTTCAACACTTCAGCTGAATTCTCCAGCCTGATTTCATCCCTCCCAGCAACCCCTACACTTGAGCTGTGTCATTCCTTGAACATGGTTTCCTACTTCCTAAGTGTTCTTTCCTACTTCATGCCTTGTGCACAGCGTTCCCTTTACTGGAGTGCCCCATGAAGATGAGCTTGGTCTGGGACAAACTGAGTCCAGGGGGTAGCAGGAATGGAAAAGGTGGAGGGTGAGATTTTGCTGGACAGGGCAGGGACCGTGTGCTGACTCACTCTTCTCTCCATCTTCCCCATCGGTGACAATCAGAGGCATGTCCTTAATTTGATGAGAATCTTGCTTTTTTTTTTTTAAATTAGGAGGAGCTAGGTATTTTTTTTTTAAGATTTTTATTTATTTATTTGACAGAGAGACACAGCAAGAGAGGGAACACAAGGCAGGGGGAGTGGGAGAGGGAGAAGCAGCCTTCCCGCGGAGCAGGGAGCCCGACGCGGGGCTCGATCCCAGGACACTGGGATCATGACCCGAGCCGAAGGCAGACGCTTAACAACTGAGCCACCCAGGCGCCCCGATGAGAATCTTGCTTTGGCAATGTGGCATTTTGTTTGTGTCTTGCTTTCTTTCAAAGCCAAGGAGAAACCCAAGGGGTCAGGGATGGAAATCATGCATGGAAAACATTTTCCTTATTTTTCTACTAAAATGTGCATGGGGCAGGAGCAAGAAATATTTGAGGGAGGAGAAATACATAGCAAACATGGCATTTTGAAAGGTTAATTGGATGTGGATGAACATATTGAGATGATGTTCTGTTATTGTCAGAAATAATGTTTTACAGAGAAGCTATTTGTGAAGAGAGACCAGTTATTATTGATGGGTTAATGTGCCCTCAGGAATATGGAAGTAATAATGCAGAGCGACAGTGCCTACAGAAAGATGTCAGTCAAGCGTGAGGTTGGAGCGGAAAGCCTGAACACCTTCTGATTTGACTCTGCATATAGGATTTGACCTGTAGGGCCCAAATGAAGAGACCCAAATGAAATACCCAAATGAAGGGTATTTCACAAAATCAGAAGTGGATTTTGAATGGTTCGTTGACCACTTTGCCCTCTGAGATGTGGTCTAATGATCACTCTTAGAATTCGAGAACTAACACAAACCTGTGATTTCAGCAAACATGTGTCTCAAGTTTTAGAATCCCATTCTGATTTCAAGTATCATTCCCGATCCCCAGAACCCAGTGAACTAATCCTGTCATCCGGGTACTTCATTGTCCAAGCTCTCATCTGCTCCCTTCCATCGGCCCATAGAAATGTGACAGAATTCTTTGCTCAGACCACATGTCCAAATTTTAGATTCAGGAAGCATGATCGTGAGCTCTGTGGAATCAGCTTCAGCAGTGGGAAAGGATGGCATAAAGATAATGATCTTGGACTTTGTTCCAAGGTTTGATTTTTTTTTCATGCAAAATAAAATTGTCCCAACAGAAAACATGAACAGGGAGGGGAATGATAAAGCTAAAAGGTCTTAGAATGAGTAATGGGAAGAATCTTTTTTGGAGGAAATTCAGGAAGGTCAGTGGAGTTCCTTTAAATGCCGATAAGCCTGTCTGAACAAGGACCACCCCGTTATTTATTTAGATGCGGCTCATCGGGTTTGCTGATGTTTCTGGCCATTGCCTCCCTTCCCCATTTTCCCCTGGGAAATATGCTTTGAGAGAGCCAAGCAAAATCCTGCTGCTCCAGGCTCTTCAGAGCCCCAGTGACCAGTGGAGACCCAGATCTCAACCAATTTGATTTAATTTCCTAAGACATTGGGCCTGCAAATACCTCTTCTGAGAGTACTTTGTTAAACGTTTATACAGTCTGTCATTTAGAATGCAGGACTTGGGGATAAACCCCAATTTTAGATGCAGTACTCATCATGGTCCCACAGAACTTTATATAAAAATCCCAGATTGGGGGGAGGGGGCACCTGGGTGGCTCAGTCAGTTAAGTGTCTGCCTTCAGCTCAGGTCATGATCCCAGGGTCCCAGGAATGAGCACCACGTCAGGCTCCCCGATCCATGGGGAGTCTGCTTCTCCTTCTTCCGCTCCCCATGCCGCTCCCCCTGCTCATGCTCTCTCTCTTTCTCTCAAATAAATAAATAAAATCTTAAAAAGAAAAATCCCAGATGATCTCTCCTCTGAACCCAACAGGGGGATGGATTTGCATGACAAATTCCCTGTCCAACCAATGTAAACAAGTGGCCTGTCCCCAGCCCCTCCCTGTTCTTTCTCTCTACATTTACTTTTCTCCTTATCTTTCGCCATCACCAAGCATACCGTTTGATTTACGTGTCCTGTTTGCTGTCTGTGGCCTGCCCCCTGCCCCTAGAGTGTACATTTCACACATACCTTGTGAAGAAGTTGCTTGCCCAGAGTGGGTGCTTTGTGACTCTCTGTCGAGTGAGGAAAGAATGCACTTGGACACCTGCAGGAGCTGAATGGGGGCAGGAGGGAGGTCAGTGCAAGACCCACCAATAGATCTTCCATTGCCCCCTCTCCCCATCTCCCCGCCATGCTCCTGTGATGTGCTCCAAGTCTTTTGTTTTCCACCTCTCGGCAGAGCATTGGCTGTGATGACTACCTGGGCTCGGACAAAGTGGTGGACAAATGCGGGGTGTGCGGAGGCGACAACACGGGCTGTCAGGTTGTGTCAGGCGTATTCAAGCACGCCCTCACCAGCCTGGGCTACCACCGAGTGGTCGAGATTCCCCAAGGAGCCACCAAAATCAACATCACCGAGATGCACAAGAGCAACAACTATTTGGGTAAGCTTGGTCTGTTTCCAGAGGAAACCGTCTGTCACTATTGGATGATTCATTCCTTCCCAGGAGCGTGACACAGCAGGGTCCAGACGTCCTTGGACCTGGAGAAGGTGCCACTGGGGAATGCCAAAGCACCGCCTGGCCTCCTTGACATGAGAAGTGTGGGTGGAGGAAATTTTTAAAGTCCTTGCAAATAAATATTTAACACCTACACATTTAAGCCAGCCTTTGTTCCTTCCAAGAGAAACATGGTTATGCACTAGATACTGGGCTAAATGGTTTCTCTGAGATGGGGGAGGCTCTTTGAAAAGTCCAGTCTTTGTTCTGTTGGAGTTCAAACAGGGGCCATCGATGATCCTGTCTGGAGCTTCATTCCCTACAGGTCTGAAGTAAAAGCCGTGTTTCTCTTCTTTCTGCTTCATCTGCCCAGGGCAATGGTATATGTGTATAGTATGTGTATATCTTCTGAAGAGCTGCAGTCATTTTGGGTAATATCAACATCGAGAGGCCATTTTTACCCATTTTCCCGTGGAAGTTTAGATCTTCGTTGGTACTTCCTCCTGGGTTGCTGGCTGATTGCATTTTATGCAAAGCAAATCAGGTCATACGAATTCATTTTGACCAATCCTAATTCACGTGAGCATGCACAGATTAGTTAACAAAATAATACAAGGAAAACAATTTCTTCAAGTCATTTAGTGAACAGCCATATTCATTTTCATTTTTTAATGATTTCTTGAACAGGAACTTAAACAGCACAGATGCTATGTGCCAGGCGCTATTCTTAGTGCTTTTCATGTGCTAAATTACTGAACCCTCTCAACAACCCTAGGGGATAGGAGCTGTTCCATCCACATTTTATATAGATAAGGAAACAGGCACAGAGAGATTATGTAACTTGCTAAGGTCCCACAGCAAGGAAAAGGTGGAGCTGGGATTCGAACCCAGGGAGTCGATCTCCAAGTGTGGTAGTCTATCAAGATGTAATACCCATGAGCAACTCTCAGAACCCGAGTTCTTCTCGTACACCATTGGCCATGCAGCAGTCAATGGCTGCAACCATTGAGAGAGGATTAATTTTGCAAATTTCGAGTCCAGGAACACCGAAGAAGATAACTCCAGGCCTGATAACTGCAAATGCTGCAGCTCTTCTTCCTGCACCCGGCAAAGCACAACCAAAATTCGCTTCGCTTCGCCTGGATTGATTGGCAGAAGGAGGAGGGGACGGCAGAGGAGACTCTGAGACAAGTCCATTTAAAGGGGAAAGCTGTCCCATTTGCTGTGGCAAGCGCAGGCGCCACCAAAGTGGCAATAGCCTAGTTTTCCCAACGAGTGGTTTGTGTGTTATCTTTAGTTGCGAGGAAATCGTCTTCGTCTGTTTCCTTCTTTTTTTTTTTTTTTTTTTGAATATTAGAAAATCGCATCTCCATAAATATCCTGTCTTCTAGAATGACAAGTGTTCTACAGGGGATTATTCAAAGTGCAATTCCATTCAAATGTATCAGCAAATAATGCCACTTTTTATGACCTTGGTGGTGTTTTTAGTAAATTTTCCCTTGCTCAGTTCAGAAAGCTGGTTTTAAGCTGTGCCCTCTGAAGATAAAATCCTGGATGAATATCCACCAGTTGTCTGAATGGAACCTGCTCTCAGAGCCTCAGTATTGTCATCTAGAGTAGGGGAGTAAGAATCTTGACCTTATAAGTATTCGTGACAATCAATAGGATAACAGATATTCAGAACCCTGTCACTTATTAGCAATTAACGAATGGCCATTCCCTTTCTTTTGTCTCAGAGAACTTGTCAGTACACCAAAGCTTCATGGACTCAAAATTCCCTGTCCCCCTAAAAAAGACTCAATGGGAGAGTGATTCAGAAAGCCACATTCACCCTTGTAGATGCCCAGAGACCAGTGGGGTACCTGAGAAAGCCAGAGCCCATCGGCAATATTACATGGCTGTTCTGTGGGCACGAGGGAGAATGGAAACAGAAGAGGAGACTGTAGTGAAAGGTTCCAGAGGAGATGATCCAGAGCTTCTGTCTGCAGCACTTAAATCACTTAAAGCACTGGAACACTTTTTTTTTTCCTTTTGATACAATTCACATATCATAAAATTCAGCCTTTTAAGTGGGTCTTTTTTTTTTTTTTTTTTTTTAAGAGTTATTTATTTATTTGAGAGTTGGGGGAAGGGGAGAGGGAAAGAGAAGAATCTCTAGCAGACTCCCCGCCGAGCACAGAGCCGGACGCAGGGCTCGATCCCACGACCCTGAGATCCGGATCTGAGCTGAAACCAAGAGTCGGATGCCCCACCGACTGGCCCCCCTCCACGTGCCCCGGGTAGTCTTCTCATCACGGGTGTTCTCTCTACCTATCCCACCCATCCTGCTAACTCTCCTATTCTGTGAGGTCTGTGTATTTTAAAAGTTAAATTGCATGGGATTGCTTGAGATTAGAGCATGGGCCTCTCTAGCTATCTTTGAACTGTTCAAGGACTATTTCTTACGTTACACATTTTCAGACACTTAAATGTTTTTCAGAGACATACGTGGTGGGTTTCTCTACAGTTTTCCAGGTAATGATGAAGGTTTCAGTGTTCTTACCTTGTATTCCTGGCTAGGAAAACTATTTTGTATAAAAATGTGACTCGCACAAAATTGATTTGGCTGTTCACATACAGCTGTTCCGTAGAATAGGCAACAGACAGGAAATAAACAGTTCAGATTTTTATCAGGGCTTTCAAAAAATGCACAACTTTTAAAGGTTTTTTCAGGTGCCCTATTGTTTCCCAGAATTCGCTTTAGTTATTTGTAGTGCAAATCAAGCTTTTTCTTGTGAAACACTCGGTATCTTTTAATGACTAATTCTCCAGACTTGTTAGAAATAGAAAGTGGATTTCTATGAAAACGGAGGGACTTGTATTATTAGTGCCAGAAAAGATGGTCTTACCACCTCATTTTTTTTAAATAATTTTTTATTGTTATGTTAACCACCATACAGTACATCACTAGTTCTTGACGTAGTGTTCCATGATTCATCGTTTGTGCGTAACACCCAGTGCTCCACGCAGAATGTGCCCTCTGTTTACCACCTCATTTTAAAGGGTTTTTTAAAACCCTCAATATATAAGTGATGTTCTCAATATGCCAGTCACCTAGTTAATGATAGGAGTCATGCTCTATGCATAGTAAGTACTTCAGTCTCCAAGCATTTTGATGTGCCTGGCCTTCTGATTTTTCAAATTGAACGTTCTTTACTTTGCCTCCTTCAAGAAAGATCTAGCTTTACTAAAGATGCAATTATAGAGTGAAGATGTGAAAATTGACATTTAAAAATCAGAAACCGGACGCCTGGGTGGCTCAGTCGTTAAGCGTCTGCCTTCGGCTCAGGTTATGATCCCAGGGTCCTGGGATCGAGTCCCACATCAGGCTCTCCGCTCAGCGGGAAACCTGCTTCTCCCTCTCCCACTCCCCCTGCTTGTGTTCCTGCTCTCGCTATCTCTCTCTGCCAGATAAATAAATAAAATCTTTAAAAAAAATCAGAAACCATGTATGTAGAAGAAGAAGGCATACATCCACCAAATCTTGCCTAATATGTAAATAGTGATGGTGCATTCAACCTGACTCTGAGTTTATGGCTTAATTTGGTTTGACCGTCGAGAACTGAATGTTCTAGATTCAGATTCCGAAGGCCCTGCCATAACTCCCAGGGGGGACAGACCCACGTGGAGCTGGGGCAACAGGCCAAACGCAGCACTTCACGATGCTCACTATTCTCTGAGCAAAGCTAGAGAAACTGTGACCTTTAATGGTGCACAGATTTTAGGAGATAGAATCTTTGCCTTATTTTAGGTTGGAAGCCAATGAAATTCTGCAGACTTAAGCTCCACTTTTCAGTGTTTCTTTGAATTTGTTCACACGCTCCAAAATATTGACAAGTTGGTGGGTTATAGATTCCTAGATACACATTTTTTTTTTTTAACAGAAAAGACTTTGGAACCCATGCATCTGCTAAAGCCTATGTATTCTCCTTTTGCATGTGAGTTATTCTGAACCCTGCTCTTTGGAAATAAAAAGCTAAATCTAATTTTATTAAAATGATTGGCATTTTATATTCCTTACCACTTCCTTAATAATAAGATGTTGTAAAATTATTCTAGCCGAAATATCAAAGTTGGCGTAGTTCAGCTAGCTCAGTTTACTAATGTCATTATGTAACAGTTCAGAAATCAGACATAAAAGCATACCAAGCCAAATTGATTCTACAGGACATGTTCTACCTGCCAACATGTAACATTGTCACGGAGCCTTAGACTTGGAAGACATTTTTTAAAGGTCTATAAGCTTTTAAACATAAACTGGCAATAGCTTTACTGTTAAGCACGTTTTCTTAAGTTTTAAACAATCATAATAACCACCAGCATTTAAAAAATCAGGTATCATGGATCATGTATAATTTGCAAACCTTTAATTTCTCAGTTGAGCAGCTATGTATATAGGAAGGATAGGAGTATTTAAATAATAGGATGTCTTATATTTGTATGACAATTAATCCCAAAGATTTTCCATATGCACTGTAAAAAAATTTTGAATAATGCAGATGATATAGAGCAAAAAGATGAGATTCCTTCTGTGTCCCAGCCCCACACCTGGTCCACTGCCGTCAAGTGTTAAGGCAGATAAATGACCACTCTTAGCCGTTCTCTGTGCATCTTCCAGTCCTTTGTGGAAGTACAAATAATATCTTCTAAAAGTGGTGTTACTATACATACTTTTTGCAGTTTGCTCCTTTACTTTAATATTATATCATACCTTTTCATATTACTGCATAAAGCTAATTCATTATTTTCTGAGTACAGAGTATTCCGTACATCAGAGGTAATATAATCTACTTAAGCAGTTCTCTATTGAGGGATGTTTAAATTGTCCCATTTTCTTATATTGCAAATAATACATTTGATTTGTGGTTCAAGATGGCAGACTGAGTACATGAGGTGTTTTTTTTTTT